TGTAAAATCTAAGTAACATTTAACCTATTTACTGCGACTTTTTTGTAAAATCTAAGTAACATTTAACCTATTTACTGTGACTTTTTTGTAAAATCTAAGTAACATTTAACCTATTTATTGCGAAAAAGTCACAAATGACACGAAACTTCTACTGAGTTTTTTGAAGTTAGACTATCACATGCGCGCTTTGACAAAACAATGTTACAGAAAACTTTTATTAGTGCTTGTTTACACTATAAACGCTTATGATAATAACAAATTTGAATAACTAAACTAATACTGCGTGTATAATCTGATCAACAGGCTTTGTATGACTTGATTACTAAACAGAAACTTCTAAATAAACATTCAGCATAGCGACCCTTGAAATCAAACTGTTGCTTCGTAGTTAACCTGTTTGATATCGAGGTCGTGTCATCGGTTGTTTTTAGGCTTCCTCATACACACACACACACACATATGTAAATGCAATTGGAAGTTATAGCTTCAAACCCACGTTTGACCTCGGTAGAATATTGGCTCTGGTTATGGTGCTGACAACGGAGTATCTGAACCCAATATTTAGGGTTATAAGTCCTCAGACTAACCGCTGAGCTACGAGGGTCCCTGTTGAATACCTGGCATCTAATATCAAACTAGAAACTAATATCAAACTGCTAGAGCATAATTTCATGGTGAGCAATACGTTTGAGTTATAAAAAAAACTCAGACTAACCGCTGAGCTACGAGGGTCCCTGTTGAATACCTGGCATCTAATATCAAACTAGAAACTAATATCAAACTGCTAGAGCATAATTTCATGGTGAGCAATACGTTTGAGTTATAAAAAAAAAGTAATTTGTCTAGAACTGTTATTAAATAAGTTAAATAAAAAAGGTATTCGGAAAAAAAGTATGGAAAATCGATGAATTCGCATTTCATACAGAACAAAAAAACAACAACAACATGATCACACAAGTGGTCTACGTTGATTTATTAACATCTACTTTTACTGATTTATCTCATTTCATTCTATTGCACTTCGATATCCTTTTTTTTGGGTATACCTAATTAGTATATGGTAACCCATTAAAACAGATTCTTATTTGCAAAAGATGCTGTCTTGTGCGGGAATGACAAACAGAATAAATTATACAACTTTTAACCAAGTTCCCAAATCGGAGAATAAAAAAAAACGACAACAAAGAAACTTAAATTCTGTGCCTTGTGTGTTATGTGGTTCAATCGATGTATGGTTTATAGTTTGTTTGTTATGGGTTTCGCGAAAAGCTACACGAGGACTATTTGCGCTAGCCGTCCTTAATTTAGAAGTGTAAGACTAGAGGGAAGGCAGCTAGTCATCACCACCCACCGCCAACTCTTGGACTACTTTTTAACCAACGAATAGTGGGATTGACCGTCACATTGTAACGCCCCCACGCCTGAAAGGGCGAGCATGTTTGGTGTAACAGGGATTCGAGCCCGCGACCCACAGATTGCGAGTCGCGCACCCTAACCATCTGGCCATGCCGAGCCGGTTTATAGTCTAACTTCTAACATGGTTTTGGGCCGATAGCGTAATTTCAAGTTGTAAAAACTGGAAAGAATGATGTTGATCACTAACTAAATTATATTTTTATCAATAATATCAGCCTAAAATTGTGTATTTTTAAATTGTATGCCTTTGGGTTTTAAGATTAAAAAAACTGATTTATTTATTCCCATTCAACAGCTTTGTCCAATGTGCATTTCCTCTTTAGGACTTTCTTTGCGACTAGTAAAAAAAAAAAAGTGTCCCCTTTTGGGATAGAGGTAAGTCTTCGGATTTACAACGCTAAGTTCAAGGGTTTGATTCTCCTCGGTGGACACAGCAGACAGCCCATTGTGGCTTTGCTATAACAAAATATAAAAATAAAGCCAAATGTGACTTTTACATATATCTACATTAATCCTTACCTATAAATTGTTAATGTAACTGCCAACTGTTCTTGATCAATTTTATCGTCGAAATTTATTTCTTGATCAAATGTCAAAAACTCCCAGTGTTTTAACGTAATAAGCTTACAAGTACACCTGGACGCTCAATATTAATTTGAATTTACTGTTTCACTATACAAAATAAATTAAGATGAATTTCCCTGTTTCGGTTTTATTTTTGAATTGTAATTTCTTGTCCATTATTGAACAACAAAATATTTCATCACCTGCAACTATTTTCTTATTAACTCCTTACCCTTATTGGGTCACTCTTCGGATGAGCAAGATATACTTTGAGTACCAACTACAGGTAGAATAAACACAAAATAGTTAAAGGATAATTTATAATATTTAACTATGACAAGGCAAAAACCGCTGTCATAAACTAATTTCAATTATAATCTCTCCTCCAAGTTCCTTGTATGTATATCAGGCATTTGATTAGTAATGTAACATGTAATACAAATGATTGGGCATCGATCTACGCTCGTAAATCAACGTTTAAAAGAGTTGGTAATGTAACCTGTAATACAAATGATTGGCCATCGACCTGCGTGCCCCCCCCCCAGTGGCACAGTGGTATGTCTCCGGACTTACAACGCTAGAAACCGGGTTTCGATACCCGTGGTGGGCAGAGCACAGATAGCCCATTGTGTAGCTTTGTGTTTAATTACAAACAATAACAAATAACAATAACCATCGACATACGCTCCTAAATCAACATTTTAGAGAATTGGTAATGTTACCTGTAATACAAATGATTGGCCATGGACCTAAGCTCCTAAATCAACGTTTTAAAGAGTTTGTAATGTAACCTGTAATACAAATAATTGGCTATCGACCTACGCTCGTGTGTCAACTTTTAAATGAGTTGGTAATGTAACCTGTAATACAACTTATTGGCCATGGACCTGCGCTCATTGGTTTTACGTATTTATAGTTATAGACATAGAAATGAGTCTGGCTACCACGAACAGCAACTGTAACCAAACTTGAATGCTTAAAATCTGAGTGTTGATAAGGTCCTGAAGTATTCTCAATTACTCCTCTGAAAAACCAGTTTCTGTAGTGAATATAGGCAACATTTCTTCCAAGAACATTTCTCACATACTGGATGAGACTAAAGACCGGGGAGCCTATAAGCTACTCCATTTCGTTAGTCTTCTCAGCTTTAGTACAGTGTGGACTCAATAAGTCAGACCCGTTTGCTGAAACATATGGCCGTAAAAAGCATGTAAGCTATTTAACGTGTTGTATTAATGGTACCATTCTACAGAATCTAGAGGGCAGTGTGCTCACTAGTGCTTTATCCTGCCTACATCATACTTCCCCCACCACTATATGCATTACGTTTTGTATACAAATGGTTTTGAACTGGTACCAACTCATCTTCAAATGCATATACGCTTGATGTCTAGCTTCAGGGGGAAGCGTGACTCATCTGTTAGAAGAACGTCGTTTTACATGTCGTTGGTCCATTGCAGAAGTTACTAGCACCATTGCAGGCGAGCATTTTTGTGCTTTGCTATCAGTTGAGTGTATGTTACCATGTCTAGCATACCATCATTGTAAAGTCTGTTTCTGACAGTCTGTACATCGATATGGTGTCCAGTTGTGGCCACAGACACCTAAGTCACTCTTGGACAAATACTTTACGATTGCAGTGAGCCGGAAGTGAGAAAGAACTCTTCTATGTTTGTGTTGTAGATTATAATGGTTTACCTCACCCAAGTGTATTAGTTGCTGTATCATTAGTTTGAAAGCGATCCCATATTCAGTTGAAAACACTTTCATACATTTGTAGTTACTGCAATTCACAACAGTCTGCTGTGATTAGTAGAATAGTGAATTAAAAATCCTCTTCTAGAGGTTCTTTTGAGAAAGGATTTCATCACTCGAACAAGTAAATATAACGTATCAAAAATAGTGAAAATTATGACCCATTAGCTTGATTTATTATATAATTGTGTCTCTGCATCCATTGGTACAATCTTATGTAATTCTTATTCGCCATTCAAAAACTAAAAACATATAAAGGTATAATATGGTCAGTGTAGTGATGACATTGCTTGCCAGCAAAGATAACGTGCTTTTATTTTCATGAAGCGAAACGTGTTACTCTTGTTTCGAAATTGTGCTCATCATTAAGTTCGGTTTCGATCATTTTATATCATAGTTTTTCCTGATAAAAAACATTCCAAAATGTCCAACTTTTGTTTCTATTTCACAACATCATAGCAAAATCTTCACTCTGCATTTGTTTCGCTCAGCACTGAGACTGAGTATAAACTACAGCTCAAGCAGATTTAAGTGAACATATAAATGGAGTTTTTCGGTTCCTATATGTTGAAACTGAACATTGAATAACCAAGCAATATTTATTCGAGTTTATTTTCGAACAAATAGGACAAGCTAAAGAGATATTGGCAGAAAGAAGGGAAATTGCAAACCCCATACTCAAATAACATGTTAGCATGTTTATCTCAACATTAACTTTATTACTTTTTGTCCCCCTTCTCAGTTTTTAGTTAAAATTCGTTGATCGTTGGTCAACCCAGTCTGTCAATAACGATTTTGGTCTAACGCAACCTGGTGGTTAGAGCGCTCTACTCGCAATGTGCAGGTCGTAGGTTTCGTATTCTCCCCCCCCCCCTCCAAATATGCCCACTCTTTCAGCTATTGGGGCGTTATAGCGTACTGTCAGTATTCGATTAGAGTAGCTCAAGAGTTGGCGGTGGGTGGTGTTGATCAGCTGCTTTTTCTCTAGATGCGGAATGGCTAGTGCAGAAATCTCCTGAGTAGCTTTGCGCGAAATTCAAAACAAAAAATAACGATTAATATTAAGAAATGTATTAGCTAGGAACTGTGTATCATCGATAATGTGAAATTGTAAATACGGTACAGTTTGCTTATATAGTAGCCATTATTCAGTTGCTTATATATTGAAAGAAAATACCATTCATGCAAATATTTGACGTTTCAACATAAGAACACCCACAACTGCCGTAACGTATGACGTCATAAGACTTTACCAAGTGATAACTAGTCTATGTAGGACGTTTTTTGTTTAGTTCATATCCAGATGGCAAAATATTACTGTAGATTTCGACTTACGATTTTTCCTTAATTATCTTATATTTATTTTCCTAACCAAATCTTTAAAACACACAACTGTTGGCAGAATTTGAAAAGTAAAAAGTAGGACAGTGTAACTAAGCAATTTGAAAGCCATTGCCTTATATGGCCTACCCTGTAAGATGGGCGTTGGTTTCGGATGTGTCTGAAGAAGCTCAAGCTGTGAATCGTATTTCCTGTATGTCAACTTTATATACGTCACTTCTAAGGTCTACAAACTGTTTATACCAGTTACAGAAACTAATAATTTCGATAAATTAAATAAATAAGAAAACTGCTCTCCGAAAGTTCTATATTGTTCAAGCTATACAGTTTGCATTCTTGTACAACACTTATTTTTTTTTTACTAAAAGAAAGTGACGTCACATCCCACGCCATTTTGGAGGTTCAAGAGTGTGCAGTCGGAAACACATGGTAACATCTTCGAAGTTTACTTGTAAGTAAAAGGTTTTTTATATCAATTAATAGTGAATTAAAATTTTCAGAACTTGAAATTAACGCATAATAAAACTAGAACTTTGACCAGCTTTGCTACAGTATTTTTGAAAGCTCTATCTGTGTTGTACTTAACTAAAGTTTAGTAGTACTAGTACGGTGTTACTACACTAGGTGTAGGTAGTACTAGTACTAATTTGTAAGCCTGTTACTGTTATTAATACTACTACTAGTATTACTATTGCTTTATAATAATTATTTAGCCAATTTATATCGAGGGCTGAAACCTAGCTAGAATTTAAAAAGTAATCATAGTCACAAAATTTGGCATTTTTTGATAAGTTGTCATAAATACATTTGGAGTTTGGACGACTGAATACTACAACAGTACAAGTTACAACAAACACAGCAGTGCGCGTAGTCAGAATATTATTTATATAACATTATAAGCCATTTGAAAGAATAACAATTGTTACAGTGTGTATATGCCTTTTACAAGTTGGCAAAGCATGATTACAATTATTCTTGTAATAAGACATTATTACACATATTTTTAAACACTACATTTTATATCCTTTTACAAGCTGGTGAAGCATGATTATAATTAATTATATTTGTCATAAGAAATTAGGATTATGCCTATTACGTTTTTAAATATTACATTCTATAGCCTTTTACAAGCTGGCAAAGTGTGATTGTAATTAATTATACTTGACATAAGTATTAGACCTTGTTATATTTTTAAACACTACATTTTACAATTGTTGTTGTAATAAATGGCTTATATAAATAGTGTTATGATCATTGCTGTGTTTGTTGTACCCCTGCCTGCTTGAAGAGCTCTGGATTAAGCAAAATGTATCATTGGCAACGACTATGATATAGTATAGTTGGAATACTATTTTATACACTCTTCTAATTCTTGAAAATCCACGAGGGACTAGATAATAGAATTGAATGTTTAAGAATATAACAGACCTCATACTAATGTTGTATGGCACTTATAATTAATTATAATCATGATTTGCCAGTAAAAAGCATTCACACCATAACAATAAAGAGGGATTTTATGTCAGTTCACAATATTATTGAGGGGACTGATAGGATAAAGGCCTCTTTATTTCTTTATGCTGTATTCTGAATACAATAGGATGAGAGGATACAAATTTAAATAGGTGAATAAAAAATACTCCAATGATAACAGACTTATTTTACTAACAGTAACAGGGTTGATTATCTTGTAGAATGGATACAGTGGTGGAGGTTAGTATGATAGGATACAAGAGTTTAAGGGGGAAACTGCTGAATTTTTGTAAAATAAAATGTATTTTTGAAATTCTTATTTATACTTTTTTTTTATTGAGGGGTAGACTGTTGTCTGTATTTTATTATTTTGCATGTTAAACAGTTATTAAGAGCTGCCAACCACACACAAGAATCAGTATACCACACTGCATGAAACAAACCAGGGGTACTGGAATTTGTTATAATTTATAGCTATGACAAGGCAAAAACAATATCATCTCCCTCTCAGTTCATTGTTATGCAAGTCAGGCATCCCGTGATCAACCTTCTGATGTAAGTGGAAATGATTGGTCACACAACCAATGTTGTTTTTTGGGACCTCACACAGTTTTGAATTAGTTATCACATTGAAGTGAATCAGTGTGTAAAGTAGTCCATACTGTTCATGAGCCCTAGCAAGACCTCAGAGAAAACACACAAACTTTCATTGGTATAGAGAATTGTTGTATAAATGGAAGCTTGCCTCTTCACAGGCTGTTTCAAGTGTTATAAACTGTCATTAGCATGACTTGGAACAATTTTCAAGCCAACTGTATAGTTAATAAATGAACTTAGTATTCCGAAAATTGTTTTATCTCAAAGTCTAAGTTCAAGGGAGGGCTAGACTTGAATCAACATGTTTAGTTACTTGGACGAGGAAGCCCATTATCTATAATGTAGGCAGGTGACTGCTATTTGCCAATTCTGGCTCACTGCAGTTATAGAGTACCTGCTTGTTGATTGACTTAGATATTCACATTGAAAACTGGATGCTGTGTCAGAGTACAGAGAATTAGAAACATACTTCACAAGTTTGGCCTGTACACGATGAGGTGTTTACAAACAGCAGATTTTTAATGGTGCATAGAAAGTGTGTAGTGGACAAATGCATGTGGAGCGTTATCTTTTTTTTTCCGTGATGAATCTTATTTCACTCTGGAGACGGAAAGCAAGGTGTATATTTCACTAGAGAAAATCTGTCACCAGATCCAGCTACATTTTCTTAATGGAATGAGGCATATATATAGCAGTGGAAGAAGTAAGGTGTAGGCAACAGTGAACATTGGTTGATGTACCACTCTACATCCTGTTGAACTGTTCCATTAATGCCACACATTATTGGGACCACATCTTATCATAAGTGTATTTAATGATAATGCCTGCATCCATTGGGCTAAGCTAGTTGATATTATTCCTTAAAAAAAAAAAAAGGTGATTCGTGAAGTAGTGGTTTGCATGTTTGCCTGGATTCAGTCGCATTGGTCATGTACGTAATGATCTTCGGTAATGTGATGTATTCTATCAAGTACCTACAGTCATTGTAGATGCTCTGTAAACAACGCTTTTTGGAGAAGTACAGAACTGTAGTCAAGAGTATGTCTACACTGATTTTAAGCATACAGTGTCAGACTTCCTTCGCTTTTCAAGATGATCATATTCCGTGTTAAAGTGATATACTGCTGTAAAGGTGTAAAGTCATATCTACTGTACTTGTAGGCTGAATGACTAATAACTTCCATTTCAGATCCATTTACAGATCATCTGATGTCTGGTATGCATGAAAGTAAACTGGGGGTGATTGAAAGTAGTGATAACCGTGACTTTGCCTTGTCGTAGCTAAAGTATTAAGATTCAAATTATTCTTTGTTTCATACAGTGCAGTACTGGAGAGTAATTGCTAGGAAGCACAAAATATGAGGAATCAATAATACAGTGTACAGTCTCGATGTAGTAACATCAGTAAAGGAATTTTTCTCTCTCCTGTGAGAAATGGGTGCAAACCCTAAGATTATCATGTTGTGTTCACTTCAACAGTACTTGTACTATTCAACAGAGTAATGTTTCTGACTAAGCCATAATCATCAAAATAATAATCTTATTTTTCAAACCTGATTATTTGGAGTGAATGTCAGTTAATTGCATTTCATAAATATCTGCATGTGTGAATTGTTGCTCAGGAAGTGTTTAAGAAGTGTCACAAATGTATTCCAAATACTTCAAGAGTTTCAACAATATCAAAGCAAGCACACAGTGTTTCACAACGTTAATGATAGAACTTGACTAGCAAAGCTCACAATATACGCTTACGATCGTTACCAATGAATTACAGGGATTCTAAAGGTAATTTGCATTAATGTCCATTAAAATCATTCTGTAGGTTCATAGTAATAAAATACGGTCAGTTAGGAACTGGAAACAAATAACGTTTTAGGCCTATGGATGTAGGGATTCAAAGCATGGATGTCTTGGAGGTTTCCACACATTCAATTTTCAGGATCCAAAGGAAAATCCTGAGCTTATAATATGCCGGTACATCCACGAACAGAAGCTATGATATGATGCTCACTTTCCTTTTAGGCTGCTCCATGAAAATATAGAAGATCATTGCTTTTGTATTTGTTCTAGTTCCTCAGTGAATCATGTTACTTAATGTTTCTTAATGGCTGGTTTTAATAAAATATGAATATAAAAAAACAAACTACGAAATAAATCGGCAGTTTAAGTGTACCTTTATTTGTACATTGATAAAATCATTGTTTTCAGGAAGTACCATAGTATTCCTATTTTGATATATGTCATAATGGAATTTAATTATATATTTGAGATTATACTGTATCGCAAAATAAAATTTGTATTGAAATTAAAGGTGGGCAATTAGGGGAATTTGCTAATTGATTAATCATCAGGCTCATTAATTTTTTACCTTTGCAAGATGGCTAAAAAAAACATCCATTATTATCAATGTCATGTAGCTGACTACAAATCTAGTTTCAATACTCACCACAGGCAGAACACAAATGGCCCATAATAAACGTTTTTATGAATCAATTATTTTACATAATACCAATCAATGTTCGTAGGTAATCAATTTAATTGCACAGCTCTAATTCAAATGCATGTACAGTTTGGTGTACTGTGCTACAATAGAACAACTTGACACAACAAGTTAGTACACATGAACACAGCTTATAAACCAGAATTAAGATCTGAAAAAGTTACAAGGCTTAATATAAGGTACTTAACCTTATAGACTGATATTTCTTAAAAATGTAAAAAGTTAAAATAGAATTTTCTGTATGTCAACTCATTTAACAAAATAAACTATTTAAATAATTAGCACGTACGCATACTACAAAACCATGCAACTTGGTTCTGTACTGTAATATTGACTTAATTGACAGATATAGTAGTATGGCTTAGAAGTATAAACCCCTATGGAAACATCAACGTTTTAAAGTAATTTGTTATAAGAACTAATATTTAGTATAAATTGATGAATGCACTGTAGTATTCAGCTGTTTAACTTGTTCTAAGTTCATTTTTTTAAGTGTCGTAAGTTTCAATTTCATTTGATATTTTAGTACATTTATGAGCATTTTCAAAATTGCATAAAAGAACACTACAATCCTACTGCTTTTGACAGGTGAACCTGTGAGTTGCCAACATTTTTTTAAATTGTCATATATATGTCTATTTTCTACTGTCTACTTTCATGTATTCTGTTATTAACTGCATTTTATTTCATACGCTGTAACAATGTGCTTTTTTTATGTTGAATGTTTCTTGTGAAGTGAACTTGCAGAACGATGGATCAAATGGTTTTAGTTTTTTTTTTATGAAGTTTACGATGGGAAGGCAATTAGGTAATTCTTGTACATGTGTTACATAAATCTGCACTCAAAACATACACATTTTGAAAAAAAAATGTCAGAAATA